TATATATATAGCCTCCATGGTTCTATGGGTTGTGGTCTGATTGTTCTTTATTTTATATCTAGAATCCACTTATGAGTGAGTACATCCCATGACTGTCTTTCTGGGTTTGGGTTACCTCACTCAGGATGATTTTTTCTAGTTCTATCCATTTGCCTGCAAATTTCATGTGAAGCCAAACTCTTAACTGTATCAAAACCATCTAAATCTTGACAAAGTATATGGATCACAAATGGTAGCCATCTCAAGCTGCCGGCAGGGCCCGGGAGACCTAGATATTTCTCATCACGATCCATCCAAGGTCTGGTTTTGGTCAGACCACTTGTTTTTACTTGCTTGGTTTATTGCTTTGTGGTAGTAGTAAGTATGACGCTGTTGGGAGTACTGGCTGCTCTTGCAGAGGAACTGGGTTCAGCTTGTAGCAGCTTACAACTATCTGTAACCCTAGGTCCAGAGGATCCAACAACCTCTTCTAGCCTCCCTAGGCACTTCACACATGTAGTGTACATACTTACATCCCAACAAAATAAATGTGGCTAAATCTAAAATAAGTCAACACCACATGAAAGGGCTGGGTCTAGATTAAGGCAAGGCAAACATTCACCTTTGAATATTTTTTACGTTTATTTATTTTGAGGGGAGTCACACACCACAGGGAATGTGTGCTGGTCAGAGGACAACTTTCAGAAGTTGGTTCTCTTCTTTTACCAGATAGGTTCTGGGGATTAAACCCAGGTCATTAGGCCTGGAAGCAAGCACTTTAACCACTGGGCCATCTAAACAGCCCAAGCACTTTGATTAAAAAAAATTTTTTTAATAACCAAGATTAAAGTGCAACCCCAAGCAATATTTTAAAACTCTAAAATCAATTAAGAGAAACCAAAAATGAACAGAATTTCAAAATGTAACCAGGCAGGGGTTCTGACCACCTGGAACTAACAGAAAGAAGGTGAGGACAGTCAGTTAAGTGGGGGTTGGTCTTGCCTTTGCTTAAATTTTGATTATTTTTTTTGTTCCTTTTGACTCTACTATTTTCATTTCAAGTTTTCCAAAGGTATTACATGAAAGTCTTTTCTTCTACCTTGGTTACTGAGATTTCTGGCTACCTCTTGGATTTTCTACCTACTATCTTTTTTGGCCCCCTCCACAGGCCGTGACTCCAGGGACTTAAAGAACAATAAACTGAGAGTCTGCAAGTTGCCAGGTGCTGGTGACAGCATTTTGCCTTCCGGTTGTCAAGAGGACACTTCCCAGTTTATTAAAACAGCAAGGCAGCACAGTGAAGAAACTCTAAGATGCCAGGCTGAGAGTCCAAACCCGTGTCTCCCTCCTGACCTCAAATCCCTCCTACCCACACTATTTGAAGAGTGGCGCTCCACCCAGGCAGGACACAGGAAGAGACACACAGAACCACTCCTCCCTAACCACTGGTACCGAGGCCACAGGAGACCAGAGAGTACTCACCAGTGAGCATGAAGGAGGACAGCGGTGGGAGGTGAGCCTGCCTCTGCTCTTCCTCTCCCAGCTCTGTGCATTCTCTTCTTATAGCTGAGTCCTGACCCTGACAGTCCCTGTGGCTCCAGGCCAGGAATACCTGTTCTGACAGCCAAAGAGCATTTCCCTGTCTACTCGCTGGTTGAGAGCATGCCTCCCTTCTCCGTGGTGGCCTCCCCCACTCCATCTTTGTGGCTTCACATAGCTGACTTTAAATGTGTGTCTCATGTTCCCATGGAGGTAGCAGGGCCCAATTACATTTATGAATTACATTCCTCACTGCTTTATTATTGATCACCTTTATTATTGAACACCCATTATTTTATGCATCCTACAACTCAGTGCTAACACTCCTCTGAATGTTTTCTTATTCTATGCACTGAAGTTGAGGTGTCTGATACAAATTCATTATTAGTAAGTACCACACATTCCAGAGCCCTTGATGATCATAGTGTGCATACCAGGTGTAAGGGAGAAACTGAGGGTCAGTGGGCTGCATTGAGTTTCCCAGGTCACTAGAACATCAGATACACAAACAGGGACCTCACTCCCCAGATATTAAGGCTATTGGGCATTACTTACCTCAAACTTAGATGAAGCACTGAAGTGAGAAAATACAGGATGTTTATTGGGATTCACTGACCTGTGGTCCAGCTACTCCTGGAGGCCCTGGGAGGCCTTGGGGCCCAGTATCTCCCTGTAATAGAGGCAAAAGGACAAAGTACACCAAGAAAATAGTAATTCCAAAGATGAGCTCAAATTGAAATCACCACCAGGCATCAGCCTTACAATGCAGCCAGAATCTTCCTAACATATGGACAAAGGGTCTAGGTAAGCAATGGTATCAAATGTGGCCATGAAATCAGAGGCCTAAGCACCACTAGTACATCTAGCTAGTGTTGATGTGTTATCCAGGTATCAAGCCTGATACTTCCTTCCTCCCATGTTCACATGAATCATAATTGGTCTCTGTGGCCAGCAGAATAGGGTAGGAATTAATAGTGTACTGTTTTTGCAATCAGGGTAAAAAATATGACAAGCTCCCACCTTGTTTTTTTTTTAATTATTATTAAGAAATTTTTTATTTATTTTACATACCAATCAAAGATCCTGCTCTTCTCTCCTCCCAATCCCCCAGTCTCTGCCCCACCCCCACTCACAGCCCATTCCCTCCTACAAGAATGTAAGGCCTCCCTTAGGGAGTCAGCAGATCCTGTCACATTCAGTAGGGGCAGGTCCAAGCCCCTCCCCTGCCTCAAGGCTGCATGAGGTGTCCCACCATAGGTAGTGGGCTCCAAAAAGCCAGCTCATGTACCAGGGATGGATCCTGATCCTATTGCCAAGGGGTCCCTTAAGCAGATCAAGCTACACAACTGTCTCGCCTATGCAGAGGGCCTAGTCCAGTCCCATGGAGGCTCCAGCTGTTGATCTAAAGGTCATGAGTTCCCACTAGTTTGGCTTGGTTGTCTCTGCAGATTTCCCCACCATGATCTTGATGCCCTTTGCTCACAGAATCCCTCTTCTCTCTCATCGACTAGACATCTGGGAGCTCCACCTCGTATTGCCTGCTTCATCTTTGCTTCATGCCAAACCACTCATTTTAGGAAAACCAGCTTCTCAGTCTTGATCTCACTAGACAGCTCTATGGCACATTCATGTGGAAAGAGAGGGATGGATGAAGACAGTGTGGAGACCAGTGTGGAGTCAGCACTGAGCTGAAAGCCATGGAAAAACCTTGCCTGTTTGTCATACAGAATTTAAAGAAATTATAGTTCAGGGATTGAGAGCCACCACACAGGGCACCTGATACAGAACTAAACAACATGGCCATGTACTCTTATTGCTTTGAGCAAAAGTGTAATGAACTGACAAATATCCAGTGTACTCAAGGTGGGTGATGAAGTTGGGATCATGGAGTGCCTCACTTGTGTATGTCCATGTGCTTCATATGTACACATACATACATGATCATACACAGTAGGCACTTTGGGATGGTTGTTCTTGCCTTATAAAACCTAGAACAGCAGATGTTCATCTCTGAAGAGCGGCTTCCCAGAGGGCAGGATGGGAATCACAGATAACCACCAGCTCCTCCAGGAGGAACAGAACAGAGTGGGTCTGAACTTCAGAATGGCTTGAGTTGCAACTGATGTTTTCAACCCTCAGGATGCATATCCCTTTGCTGGCACTGTGATGAAAGAGTCTGTCGTGGGGAGTCCTGAAAGGATTTATCTAAAATGCTCCCTCAGTGATTTGGAGCAGTCACCCCGAGAGCCACCTGCTGGCAGCACCCCAAAGTGAGGGCTCCTGAGAGTAACCATAACATGTTCAACTTAAACACGAGGCTGCCTTTGTTTCTTTCTTCTTTCTCTTCCTTTCTTCCTTCTCTCTTTCTTTCTTTCTCTCCCTCTTTCTTCATTTCTTCCTTTATTCATTTGCTTATTTATTTTGGTTTTAAAACTAATTGTTCAGTATGCAGAGTTACGGACTTTTTATGGTATGTTCACATCTTTATGTTGTTATACTTTATTCTTATTTACCCATATGCTGCCCTTCCCTGCCCTCACATCACTGGTCCCCTGCCTCCTGCAACAACCCTGCTTGCATGTCATATACATTCTATCACTGTCTCCTTTTCCCTGACCCTATCCCTTTAGAACACTTTCTCCTATCTCCTTTCTTCATGAAAGCCTAGAGACTAAATTAAAAAGTTCCTTGTGTTATTAAAAATAAGCCAAGAGAAGAAAGATCTGTAAGAATCCAACATGCCCACTTCACAGCCTATAAGATATTGCATGAGAAATGTCACAAACAAACACGTTTACTTTGATGACTTCATCACCTGGAGAACTGGGTCAAGGGTAAGTATTCTTACTTAAGGTGGTTCTAGGATTCATTTTCTGACCCTAGTTCCAGAGTATCTAGAGGGATGTCTGGGTTCCTGTCATACATGCACAAGCTAAATGTACCTACATGTGTGATCTCTGCAGAGGAAACAGACAGTGTTTAAGGTACAGGAAAGAAAAAAAAAAGGACTGTATTTCAGATCTGTGTTTCTATTTGTCCCATAAAAGTATGGAATTTATTATTAATTAGGAACTTGACTCTTCCTTTTTATAATAAGAAAAGACACACACCCTGCCGCCCCTGCAAACCCATTTCCTGAGCAGGCACTTTGGATAATGTCATCGTGAGTTCTCACATTGAAATATACACAAATGATTTTCAAACCTAAATGGGTTTTTTTTTTTTTGCCAGATTTTTAACCCATGAGTGTCTTTCTCTCAAGGGTCATCTCTGGAATACAATCAGCAAGGAAGTGTCTGTAACATCTGATTTCTGTAGAATGCTAACACAATCCATGTTCCAAGTTTCATAGCTTCCTCCTATCACACAGAGGGAAAATATTCTCTCTCTCAACTCCAGATAAAGCCAATCAGCTGACCCAGTGTCACAGTTACCAGGTGAATATATGGCAAGAATATATATTAAAAAAAATGGTGTTGTTGAGCCCTCTTTTTAAAGGGCTTACTGTGGCCTTTCTTGAGAAAATGCCTACAATGGGCAGTTGGCGTGCTTGGCTATATGAAGTGGGAATTCTCTTTGCCTTAGCCATCTCTTAACATATAGCCTGCAGTGTGCCACATATTCTGTCTGGATGCTTATTTGCTGTAGGATGTTCTGTATGGCAAATTGCTCTGATTGGTCAATAAATAAAACAGTGATTGGCCAGTGGCTAGGCAGGAAGTATAGGGGGGACTAGCAGAGAGGAGAAAAGAAAGACCAGGAAGGCAGAAGGAGTCACTGCCAGCCACCGCCAGGACAAGCAGCATGTGAAGATGCCGGTAAGCTACGAGCCACGTGGCAAGGTATAGATTAATGGAAATGGAATAATTTAAGCTATAAGAACAGTTAGCAAGAAGCCTGCCACAGCCATACAGTTTGTAAGCTATATAAGTCTCTGTGTTTACTTGGTTGGGTCTGAGTGGCTGTGGGACTGGTGGGTGACAAAGATTTGTCCTGACTGTGGGCAAGGCAGGAAAACTCTAGCTACACTTATTCAATATCAAAACAATATCTTCTTTTCTGCATTTGTGGAGTAGTTTTCACTGCTAGAATGGGATTTTGCTCTCAGTTTTATCCTTGCACTCTAGGAGAAACTACCTATGCATCATTCTACCGAAGCCAGCCCTTGAATTGCATGAAAACCAGCCTCAAACTTTTGATTTTGGATCTCTCCAGTGCCTACATATTGACCAACATACAGAATACACATTTTTGTGGAGTAGGGGAATGATAGATGGTCTCACTGGGCTGGCCTGTAACTTATTATACAGTCCAGGGTAGCTTCAAACTTGTGATCCTCGTCTTCAATCTCACAAGTACTGAAGTTACAGGTGTGTGCCACTAGATCTTAGCACACATTTAATGGAGTATCAAAAATAGGTAGTGGCTGGTCGGTGGTGGCGCACGCCTTTAATCCCAGCATTCAGGAGGCAGAGGCAGGCAGATCTTTGTGAGTTCGAGGCCAGCCTGGTCTACAAAGTGAGATCCAGGAAAGGCGCAAAGCTACACAGAGAAACCCTGTCTCGAAAAACCAAAAAAATAGGTAGTGATGAAGTGAATATATGGATAAATGGGTAAGAACAGCAGATTACACTCTATATTAGAAGAATATATTTGGACTTTATCCTAAAGGAAGGAATCTTTATGTACACATGACTTATGGTTGGCTTATGCTGGGTTAACCTTAATTCTAGGTGTCATAAAATGTCTTGGGATGTATGTAAAACCCAATGGCCTAGGTGTGTCTCCGCCCTGCCACTAAAAGATGATAACAGAGAGAGGGGAATCTTAGAAACTAAACCCAGAAGGACACAACTAAATTTGGATTGATTGACTGCCTCTGATCTGGTTCTCTATAAAAAATGCTAAAGAGAAAGAGAATCTGGAAGGCAGAGTTTGCTCTGAGTTCCCAGACTGCTGGCTCCAAAGAAGGCACCATTTCTTCAGCTCCTGGGCTTTGTCTATGTGACAGGTAAACATGGGCTTGAAGGTCCACTGTGGCAACTAGACATACTAGATAGCTCACCGTCAGACAGACGGACTGACAAGAGGCAGTGGGGAAGACCCATCAAAGAAGCGTGGATGTCTAGATATCACCACACACTGGAATGCCACAGGCAGTATTTTCATAAAATGGCAAAGACCTACAGATATCCAGTTTGCCTTCTTTGCACTCCCCTGTGGTCTAAACAGTCCCCAAGTCTGAACCCTTCTAGAGCAATGAGGGCCATGCTGGGATCTAGTGGAATTCTTCATTGCTGGAATGCAGACTCGGCTCCCCTTCTCCTTACCTTTTTGCCTTCTGTCCCTTCTCTCCCTGGCTTTCCTGGGAGCCCTTTGTCCCCTTTGAAACCTGGAAGACCTGGGAGGCCTGGGGGACCAGGAGGGCAGTCGTTGCACACATCCTTAGAGAAGAAAAAGAAAGTTAGTAAGTAATGTAGCTACTTACAAGACAAAGTGGCCCCAGGTCCTACCCCTCTGGGTGATATTTGGTTATAAATGCCAACAAAGATGGAAAAACAAATTGATGGATTGTCTTGACCCAGGCACTTTTGTGTCCAAATTTATTTCAGCACAAATGCATCTGGATTGTTACCCCATTTTTTTCTTGAGTTCTAGCCAGTCACCTGGCTGGAAGTATGGCCTGAGAAAATGATGCCAAAATGCATATAAAAATGCCTGTGGGCATGAACAAAAACATTAAGAGAGCACACTGAAGGCAAACATTTAGTGTTACTAGAAATAGAATGCTCTGCCCTGAGGACAGAGTCAAACAAAGCTGGGAAGGACAGTCTCTGTGGTGTGCCTTCCTAAGGAAGGAGAACAAAGGGGGCCGCAGGCACCTAGCACAGTGTGTCCTGGCTGTGACACAAAGCCTTGCTCTGACCGTGCTTAGCACTGTTCTTTTCCCAGGACAGGCATTCAATAAATGTTCCCAGGAGCTCAGCTTTGTTCTTCAAGACAGGCAAATGCTGTTCCAGGAGTAAATGTAAGCTTTCACACCCGTCTGTGTCACCTCTAGATCTGAAAAGTTCACAGCATGCTAAGTACCAAGTCAGGAGACTACACTCGAGCAACCTCCTCCAACACTCCTCTCTTGGATGACTTCCTCCTAAGCTCTTCTATCCATTCTCCCATCCTCCCCCTCTCTCCTCTTATAGTAAAGTTAAATAAGATAGCACGAAGAAACATTAAGAAAATTGTGAGACCAGGTAGACAATGCCCAGGACATTCAGGCATTGTTATTGGCCCACTATTCGTTTAGAGGAAGCACTCTTATAAAAGATATTGCAAAGCCTCTGGTCTGCTGGATGCTACGCTGAGCTTTGAGACCACTACCTGCATGAACCTGAAGGTTGGTAGGTGTTAACCAACGCAAAGTAAATGCACTAGCTAAGGTCCACTGAGGGCTCTGCATGGAAGGGTGAATAAAAACATGTGGCCACTCTGTGGGTTCATACTCAGTGACCTACAGTCTAAAGGAATTCCACATTCACCTGGATTGATCTCTAATTTCAGAATGTAGTTTTTCTGTTATAAAAGCAAGCTCTCCTTTCTCTTGCTTCTCTCCTATGTAATCTTCAAGTATTCTTTATGCATCTTCTACTCTAAGCTTCCCTGATGGCATCTGGACAGGGAAAGCTCACCATGCTCCCATGGACTTGTCTACTGGGTACTCCAACTGTATCTCCATTCTCTCCCCACAAAGTAGAGAGTGGAACAGTCTTGATCCTCGCAGGGCCAGGTCATAACAAATGGTCTTTCATGGTGCTGAGGTTAATAAATGAAACAAAACACCCAGCCAATTGCTTAACAATGAGCCAACTAATCAACCATTTGACTTTTTCATGTCTTGTTCCATCATCTTTCAGTATGCTGTTTTAGAAACTGACTATTTGGAAGGACTAATTGTTAGAGTATATGAAGCAAGGATGAATGGGATAAAATGGAGCAAACTACATGTTTCCGAGTTTCATTCTTTCTTTTAAAATTAGAAAAGCAGAGAAGAACTGGGTTTTCTATTACAGTACTTTTAAATGAGATGCATCAATGGACCACTGCAACAATGGATGGAGGTACAGATGGATGGCTAGAGATATCTGTTGGCAGATGGATATAAGGGTAGGTAGATGACTGGAAGATATAGATGGGTGGGTGGATAGATGGCTGGTGGATTATATTTCAGTGAATAAGTGTATGGGTGGATGGAGAGAGGGAGGGGGGAAAGAGGGAGGGAGGGAAAAAGGAAGGGAGGGAGGTGGGAGGGATATATAAATGAGAATGAAGCTAGCCTGATGACAACAAGAATTTAAGCCACTAAGACTTTTTCTGGACTTGGAAATATAAAATGCTTACCACATTTTGTTCCCAGAAAAGCTTTCAGCTCAGATCTTTCCTAGTTGCAGGCTATGCAAGGCTGTTGCCTGAAGATTAGAGCTATCTGTAATCCCAGCTGTTCCAGTATGAAGACTAGACTCAACCCACTGGACCAGTCTAGAATATGTCAGCACAAACTGAGAGGAGTACCACCTATAGTCCTACTGATGCTCTCCTTGGCTGTTGACACCCTGGAACCCCAATTTCTCTAGATTCTACAATCTAGAGGTGCCGAGAACATCAGAATCAACTAAGCAGGGCTCAAAAGGGCTCAAGACTGAAGCAGCAATCATGGAGCCTGCATGGGTCTGTGCTAGGTCCTCTACATACAGGCTATGGTTGTTTAGCTTGGAGTTTTTGTGGCATTCATAACAGTGGAAGTGGGAGATGTCTTTGACTCTTTTGGTTGCTCTTAGGACCCTTTTCCTCCTACTGAGCTGTCTTGTACAAACTTGATATGAGGGTTTGTGCCTAGTCTTATTGCATCTTGTTATGCCATATTCAGGTGATATCCCTGGGAGGCCCACTCTTTTCTGAAGGGAAATGGAAGAGCAATGGATCTGGGGGAGGGGAGGGAACTCAGAGGAGTGGAGGGAGAGGAGGCTGTGGTCAGGATGTATTGTATGAAAAAAGAATAAGAAAAAAAGAAACCAAATATATTTTTAAAAACAAATAAAAAAAGAAAGAATGGAAAATGTCCAACATTTCATCAGGCACAGAATGAAAGCACAATATAATCTAGTCACTATATATTTGTGTGCTTTATTATTTTACAGCCCAAGTCTGATGTCTTGCTCCATTTATAGACTCATCCATGCCTCAACCTCCTATTCTATAAAAGGAAGTCAGTAATGGAACACTGCCCAAGAATTTAGGGGAGGAGGTGGATAAGTAAGATTTATAAACCGAGTCATTTCCTGAAGACACCCTGACGTTGGCCTCCCAGGGCACAGATCTCACTACAGAAGTCTATCTCATAGGGCGGGTCTTAGATGAACCCTCTACCTAGGCAGTGTCCATCCTGCCATGATGAGAGATATGGGCTGTTCTAAAATGCTTAGGTGCAGCAGTAATTTTTGTAATGAAAGATACCTTCTGAGTCCCAGTCACCTGGACTAGACTGTCAGATGTTACCCTATAGCATCACAGTGGCAGTAGACTCCAAAATCAGAAAGCTAAAGATGGCCAGCTCCAGTCAAATCCAGTAGAATAGGCTGGAGTCTACAGTTTTCCATCACGGTGCAGCTTCCCTGACCACAAGTGCTCACGTTTCTCTGAGTTTTCGGATGCCCAGATGAGCACAACTGCATTCTTCAGAGCAGCTGCGGAATCAACACTGGATTAATGTCTGTCTCAGTGCTCTCTCTGGCATTGAGGTGTGAGGTTTGGTCCTTGCAGCTGCATCCTATCCTGTGTCATTGGCATACTCATCAGGATATCCTAAGGTTTAAATCCTGAGAAGTGGCAGATGATACAAACCCAGGTCCTCACAGAACCTGGAAACCATGAAGAATTATCTAAGCTAATAAAAGCCTTTAATAAAGAAGAGATCAAATCAACGAACAACTATTTCTTATAATCTCCTTGATGGTTAAAAAAAAACTGTCAATAAAAATCTATAAAGATTAGTCTACTCTTCATATTTTAATAAAGTTTGATTTTTCCATTAGTACATCTCAATGTTTAAGAAGATTAAAAGCCTCAAGCTTTATAAGGTTATTTGGGGGGTTTTGTTTTTGTTTTTTTTTTTTTGTTTGTTTTTCCATTTGGGTTCATATGTTAACCAGAGACCTTCTGCTATCAGCCAGTGGCTTTTAGAATACAAGAAGATGAGGCCTAGAGTCACATGAAATATAGCACTGTGACAAAGGCTTGAAGCAGAGCCAGCCAAGGGGTCTCCGCTCCCACCACCATGACAACAGTGTTTCTTTCTGAATAGAAATCCAAAGCTGCTGTAGCCCTGCCCAACTATTCACCAGTCAAAACTCAAGGCCCTGAAGCAAAGCACCTGGGCACCTCCACAATTCAGCTTCCAGGTGTGACTCTGGCCAGATCCCACTTTATTCCAGCTATGATAAGCACTTTGTACCTCTCAGAAAAGAAAAAGAAAAAAACATTCTGGAAAACAGGTAAGCACCCCATCAAGTCAGGACTGTGAAGGATGCAGAGCCCAGCATCTGTCCTTACTTCCATGGGCCTGTGCTTCTATTCTTGAACCAGCAGGATCCAGAAACCAACTGTTTGGCTCTGCCTCCTGCCATTTTCCAAACAGAAGACATTCTTATATAAGCCAAGTCCAGTCTTTGACTATGAACACTGGATTCTGTTTCTGAGATAATTTATTCTATCCATTGACTCTATTTATGTGTCTGGTTTCATATATGCAAAGCAGTAACATGAATCATACCTACCTCGTGGAATCTAAAATTGAATAAACAATGTTCATCAGGCATTTCAACATTACCCTGTGAAGAACTTTCTGCTCCATGTCTGTACTGTCCCATAAGGTAGCTCCCAACCGCATGGGGGCACTAGGTACTTGTAAAGTGCCTAGTATGGCCATGGACCTTAATTTTATTAGGCAGATGCATGTGGGTGCTGGAGTAATGGCTCAGCAGTTAAGAGCACTGGTTAGTCTTCTAGAGGACCTAGTCAGATTTCCAGCATCTACATGGTGGCTCACAATCATCTATAACTCCAGTTCCAGGGGATCCTCTTCTGTGGGCACTGCATGTACATAGTACCCATTAATACATGCAAGCAAAATACCCATACACATAAAACAAAAATAAGTACATCTGTGATGTATGTGGATGCTTGCTGCCATATTGGATCATGTAGATTTAGCAGACACTGGTCACACAACGGTTTCAAAACAGATGTTGCTGGGGCTGTACTTAACACTACAGGATATTGGTTCAGAGGGGAAGAGAAGAGGATTTTGAGGTCTATACTCCCCCAGCACAATTTTCAACACACATGCATTTTTACCTTTACTAAGAGATTTATGTCCTCTGGAGTCAGCAGTGAAGCAGGGCCCTGTCAAAGCAAAAATAAATAAGGACAGACACACATGCAGACACGCAGTATCGTCCATGCATCTTCAGAGAGTGAATGCCCTTCAAGAACATAAAGCTGTAACTCACAACAGATTTGAGGAGTCATGGGATGCAAACAGGTCTATCAGAGTCCCAAGCCTGGGAATCACCAAAGGAGACCCAGGCTGCCTAGCTGTGGACATCTCTGAAGGACTTCAGGTCTTCTTGTCCCCAATCTCCTCAGGTTCCCTTCTGTTCTCCCTCCCTCCCCTCATCAAAGCATGACAGGTCACACAGACAGTATGGAAAGCAAAGGGATGGACTGCCTACAATTCACCTGTCACGAATCTCCCAGATGGCCCATAGCTGTTGCTGTTAATCATTAATGGCCTAGTATGAATGTAAACCAGTGTCTTCTGCTCGGTAAAAGAGCATTTTAAATGCCATCCTTTATTCCGGGATGAAAGTCTCTGGTTCTGGAAAGGGAATCTGAGACATGTCTGAAGGTATGTGTGCAAGATGCTGCAGCCACCAGACTCACAAACCCACTGAATTGGAACATGCCCTGTGATAACGATAGCCAACCTGTGGCACAGGACAGGAGGAGAGCTCAGAATGCACTGGGCACAAGGAACATGGAGTACATGGAAAGGAAGACAATCCTTCTAGGGAAGAAGGACCCATAATTATTCACTAGGGATTGGAACTCTCTGCTGCAAGTTGCAGATTGTGCAATGGGAAGATGCAGATTGTGCAGTAGGAAGAGGCACACAGGATCATCTCCCCAGAGACAGGCATGGACTCCATCCCACATCGTGGGACGCTTGGGCCACCATCATCAATAGCAGTGACTCTTGAGGAGCGGAAGGCCTACACAATTTTTCTAGAAATTTCCATTTTTTTCCCTAGATCAGCGGCTTTGTCTCATCCTGCAACTAACTGACAAGTCATCTGACTGTTTCACAGAATTAACCACTGCAGTGTCTACAGGGGGTTGAGGTTGTTTCCTGTGCTGAGAAGTTCAACAATTCAATCAACTCTCTGGGCAACTGTAAGGTTTCTGAGAGACATTGGGTCTAGAATTCCCAGATTTGGGAGGGGGGGGGGTAGAGTCACTAGCCTGGCAAGCAGAACCTATTTAGCATGCATTTGCTAAAGACACATCAAAGTGAGACACTCCCTTGCCCCCAGTTGTCAGAGTGAGACACTCTGGAGAAAAATCTGACCTTCTAAGAGCAATTTATTAACCTTTTAACTTAAAAGGGGAAAGTTTTAGTTTGAGGTCTTATATGTTTCCATGAGAATGTCATGAGTTTTCGGGGTGGGGGAAGGAGTCTCATATAGCTCACAGTGAGACATTCTTAGACAGCTGGCACTGTACTGTCTGTGATGTCATTACACTGTCATTTGTGCTCCTTTAATACCTGGCCTTAATGCCCTTTGACTATGTTGGGCATTATTCACAGTGAGACAGAGAGCAAGGGGTGAATACAGTCAGCAGCAAGGCTTCTTGATGACTTCCCTGAAGTCTCACTCATATCACTTTCCTATCACCCTCAAAAGAAGTCTGAAGAAAGTCATTTGGGCTTTGTATGGAAGTGGTAACCTTACGTCACAGGACACAAGATGCACAGCAGGGTGTCATGGATGCCTTGCAGAAGTTGATCACGTGCCGGAGGTTAGGCCCAATGGCCTTAGGTAACACATGATGGGATGTGTTAGGACAGAGAAGACACGATCTATAACCACCTAGAGTCTACTTACTCCTGGCCAGCCTCTGCTGCTGGGAACATTGGTTAGAACTTCTGGAGAAGTCCTACTGCCAGTGACTGACATGAAGGTGCAGAGGTCAGGCCTTGCCTGCAGGTGAGACAGCTCTATAGGCCTCTCACTATACATTTCCATGCGGGATCTGGACAGTCGGATAAAGATGGAGCTCTCTGTTCTATGGTGACCATCTGGGAGACACAACTGCCTACATTGTCTGCTGTACTCTGCCAGTTTATCTTTGCAGGGTGGCATCAAGGACTAGCATGTGGCAGATGGGATTTAAACTTTCAACGCCTCTGGCCTGAGACTCTCTCTTTCACCTGCTTCACTGTGGCCTTGCCCCTTGATGATGACACAGCATGCAAACAACGTATTTGGCTGCTATCTAGCTGCGTCCATGGAGGAAAAGAGGTATTTCCACAGTTCCCAATGTGACTCATACTCATCCCTCTGGATGTCATCAGTGAAAAGTGTCACGGCCTCAGACACAGAACAAGACCCCACTTTTGCTCTCTGCTGTGGCCACCAGCTCTAACAAGATAAGGGGGATTGTATGGGTCCACGACATTCTCTGTACCTTGGGCACTTGTCTGAAACCAGGTCACGCTTGCAAAGAGGACAAGCAACCCTTCAGACCCAACATGGGATGAAGCTTCTTCATTCTGGTGAGCAACTTAATTCCAACAGCAGACTGTGGGGTGAGTCTTGAGGTCTGAGATACTTGTCTGATGGCCACTTTCTCTTAGACCCTGGTTAGCATCTTCTAATGGTCTGCCTCCTCCAGGAGCTGCCTCTTCAACCCCCGCCCCCAGACATGATCAGGCTCACAAGTCCTTCCCTGGAAGGTTGACAAATGACCTGGTCACCTGGCTAAAACTTTGGGACTTCTTTGTCATTGCCAATTCAGGGGGTGTCCCAGAAGATGATGGTACTGTATCTCAGAGACACATGCTGGACCTCTAATTTGCTTGTTCTCAAGCTAAGGGCCTGTCAACATCTCCTCAAGTTCTTAGAGAGTCTCCCATTCTCATGTGAAACAAAACAACTGCTCCTGGCTGTCTAAACAGTGCCAATAGGCAACCTAGGCAAAAAACAGGAAATGGGCAAGTTTCTACCCTAGTTCCACCCTCTGTCTTCTGTCTTGTCTCATTACATCTCAGGGCTGGCCTGCTCGCTAGCCCCTGGCTGAACTGAACCAAAAGGAGGCATTGCCAGGGGCTTGGAAGGTAAGAAGATGTCCACCTGCCTCGGGCCAGGCTTTCTGGCAGTGGCTTTGAATCCACAGCCCTTATCCCACATTGTAGCCAGAGATCGAGCTCTGCAGAGCGACGACAATGGCTCCCCATCATGGCTTATCCCTGGTCGCACTGCACCCAGAATCACTTCCCTCTGCCCAGTGTGTCCCCTGGTTAAAGCCTCTTGAGCTGCCTCAGTTGTGCTTTATTTCTTGCTGGCACCCTGCCTGACAGTCAGCATTCATCCAGACCCGGCAGGTGACATACTGGTTTTCCAGGGGGCCCTCTTTCTCCTGGATTTCCTGGTGCACCCTAAGAGAGAAAAGAAAGCAAGCCATGACTGTGGTGATGAGGTCATCCTATCTATCCTACATGCCCCTCCAACCACCTCTGTCTCTGCTAACTGTGACTTGGCTGGGGAGGAATGCCCCCAACTCTGAAGATGGGCCCTGGCTGACCTTCCAAGTGTCAGTAGCAAGTGTATAGGGCAAAGTAAACCTTCCTAAAAATCCCTTCCAGAACCCCAAACTAAAACCACCTTGTGCATAATGTGCCCGTGCAAACACAATCACATACAAACCTGACGACTTAATCTTTTATTCCAAATATGAGGGGTAGGAGTAGCTTTGAGAAGAAAATGTTTTCATTGATGACTGGCTATAAGAATGCAAGAATGATAGGGGAGCAGTTAAATATAAATGTTGGGGAACAAGAACTAGAGGGGAGCTGTGGGATGTCTTTCTGTATGCTATGCATGTGTTTCTCTGATCAGTTGATAAATGAAGCTGTATTGGCCTATGGCAAGGCAGCTTAGAGGCAGGCAGAAAATATAAGCGGATAGACAGAAAGAAGAAGGGCAGAAGAGAAGAGACACCATCCCGCCATCCAGGGAGCAGCATGTAATGGCACACAGGTAAAGCCACAGAACATGTGGCAACATATAGATTAATAGAAATGGGTTGAGTTTAGTTATAAGAGCTACCTAGTAAGAAGCCTGAGCCATAGGCCATGTAATTTACAAATGAATATTAAGCCTCTAAATTATTATTTTGTAAGTGGCTGCAGGACTGTGGGTGAGAGATTTGTCTGGACTACACGGGGCTGGGCAGGACACAGAAAATTTCTGACTGCAAGAGGGGATTTCTTTTCAGGAGCAGAACCCAAGGGAGGGAAGAGGCCTGTATGGTCCCTGTCTAATGGGGACTAAATGGGGACTAAGGAAGCAGAAGCGAAGGAAGGCAGATAGGCAGTGAATACTGCTGCTTATTGGAGCCATGCATCTGGTGCCTCTAAAACCTCCTTGCAGCCATTGATTCATTTTGCCAGTGAGTATGAACTGAATGCCTCTGGTGCTTGGCATGCTGAGTATCCGGGACCTACAGACACTGAAGACTCGGGAGTTCAGAGCTATCTGACTGAAGGCCAAGAGAGGAAGACAAAAGGTGACTGCTGTCGTCATCATAAAAGGGTTTTGTCCCAAGGGGCCTCAGCTGAGCCTCTGTAATTCCCTTAAGGAGAGGGGGCCAAAACAGGGCCAGGAAGAAGTGCATGGAAGAATCAGACCTCACTCATTTCATCAAGACAGATGAGCAAGAAAGAAGAGACAGTGATTGGAGACCCAGGAGTATTCAGGGTTTTGAAAACATGACAAAAATGCTTAAGAAAGAAAATCTGAATAATGCAAAAAGCCACAACAGACAGAAAACCAAAAATACATAAATAAATACCCTGGGGCTTCACAGAAATCCCTGACTGAGCAAGGATTTGGTGCTGGCCATGTGGACAAGGGAGGCCAGGAGATGGTAGATGAGCTCACAGGGGTGACTCTACACACTCTTTAAGCCGATGGCTTTTCTCTTTACTTACATCCTGGCCAGCTGGTCCCTGGGGGCCGGGGAGTCCAGGTAAACCTCGAGATCCCTGATGAAAAAGAAAAGACAGGATCCAACTGTGGGAAGACAGGGCTCATCTTTGTCTGACAATAGTTGGCTACGGCTATACAAATAATCGGCTAATGGGGAACCATCATTGGTGTGAACTGTCAACCTAACAGAATCTAAAATCACCCTAGAGATGGGCCTCTGGACATGGCTGTGGGGATTATCACAATTATACTAAGTGATGAGTGTCCTCTGACTGTGGATGAGATGTGAGCAGCTGCTGTCTGCTCCTTCTGCTTTGACTTCCCTGCTATAACAGACTTCACCTTGAACAGAGCTAAAGTCAGTCCTCTCCTCCTTAAGGTGCTTCCATCAGGGTTTGTTACCACAGCAGCATGGACAGAAATCCCACAATAATGCATGTGTCAAAAGTACCCTCCTCATACCCCACTGAGCAGGACCTGTTCTGTGGACATCTGTGCTCTGTGCCCCGATACAATGCTCAGGGAAATGCTCTCTGGGAACCTAACATGAGCCCCATGCATTGTCCCCTTTGCTAGTGTGGATGACACAGCTCCTGTGGAGAACCAGGCCTGAGCACCCACCTTAGAACACACCTCCCATGCACCTTGACGACAGCCAGCCCCTTGAGCTTCTACTTGGTTACAGAAGTTTCCTTGCGCAAGGCCCAACAAAATGCTTGGCTCCTGACGACCCTGGTCACTTTCTATAAGATCACTCTCATTATGTTAACATTTTCTGGGTGACATCAGAAAGTGGCACAGGCAACAGATCTCATTACATTTATAGGTGGAAACCAGCCCTTCTCAGGGCACTGGCTGACCTCAAGCCACCTGCTCTGCAGGAGTTGACCTGCCTCCTCTGGAATCCACAGACCTCTCCTCAAACCTACCCTTCATCCAGAATCCCACCTTCCTCAGGTTACTCAGCATAATTTACTTTGAAATCTCATGGTCATGAACCTCAATTGTTCTGAGCCTGTTTCCTCATCCAGCAAAATGGGTACAAGACTCCCTTGCCCTCCTTAATCAGAAATCATGAATGAACATTACTTTAAAAAATGTGCACAGAGCAAAAGGCTAGGCATCAGCCCAGCTGTTGACATGTAGCTCTTCTGCTCATGCGGTGACTTAAAAGCGGAAGACACAGCAGCAAACATTTAGTGAATGCTTGAAAATGGCCACCAACAATGGTGGCTCTTCCTGAGAACAATGTGCCCTGGGAGCTCTTGTGTTGCATTAGCATAAAAATGGGCCCAACGGATTTCTATAATGGCTCATAGGTATTGCTGCCTCCATACTACAAATCAAGAGACATGTTCTTTGGCTCTGTGGCTGTTAAGCCAGAATTCAAAAACAGTTCTTCTAGCCATTTGATTGAATTCCCTAACCTGAAGCTCCACTTCTGTAGTGGAGATGCTAAGTAATGAAGCCAGTCTCAATGTGCCCAACTACGAAACAGTTGTGCTGGATTAAATGAGCCCACCTCTCCCTCCCTCCCCATATGTCCCATAAGCCCGTGCGCATATTTTGGAGAGTCTGTCTAGTGCAATGAATTTCTAGTAACTTTTGATTGCCTCTAATTTAGAATTGGGTTGACAGTCCTCCACCTAAAGCATACTATACCGGGGATCCTTTGTCTCCTGGTCGTCCTGAAGGGCCCTAAGAAAAGAACAAACAGATTAGCAAACAAAATAGGAATGCTCATTTCAACATTTAAACATGCTATGATATCTTAAAACAAAACAAAACAAAACAAAATTAAAAGAAAAACAACAACTAGGGCTTCATGTAGCCCAGGGTGGCCTCAACACTATGTAGTCAAGGATAACCTTTAACTCCTGATCCTTTTGCCTCCACTTCCCAAGTTCTGGGACTAGAGACATGTACCACCAAGCTCTGTTCTGTAAAGTTTATTGCTAGGCCAGGTTTCCTCTGTCCTTTCTTAAACAACTACCACCCACTGTTATTCCCACATGCTTCCTCAGTCCTGGTCCACCACTTCCTTATACCTCTAGTGTGCCCAGGGTTTCCCATATTTCACACCTTTGGAGAGGCACTGGTTCTTCCTGCTTAGGCTAGATTTTTATCAATGAGCAGCTCTCAGTTTCCCACGACCAGATCAACCTGCACCCTGAGCCTCTGCTACCAGATTGATGTTTCCATATGGAAGGCTTTTGTGTCCGGACTCACCCTGTCACATTTGGGAAGGCCTTGCACAGTGGAGTTAGTTAGGCCTCTGTCCTCAGCTCAAGAGGTCCTGCATCTTGCTGTATGTAGCAACTCCCAGGAGAACATGGTAAGTATTCCCAAGAGGGAGAAGGGCTTACCCACAAAGGCATATGTCCCTGCATTGTGATGAAGTAGCCAGATCCCCTATTGTTTATGACCCTGGGCGGCCAGACAACAGATGAGCATCCTTTCAAGTACATAGTGGAGCATAAGGGAAGCAGATATCTAGAGACACAGGCGAAGCAGAGCCCTAAGGGCAGTAGATCTGTTGGGGCTGTAATGTTAGGAGCTTTGTAGGGGCAGGAAATGAGGACAAGGGCTCTTTAGATTAAGATGTTTGAAACACACACACACACACACACACACACACACACACACACACAAAACAACAACAATTTGGGCATTTAGTGGATCATAACAAAAACTCACAAACATTTATGTCATTTTTTTCTTTTTTCTGGAGAAAGTATCACAAGCTTTGTATGACAAGGTCTCTACCATAACACCACACTCTGCTATTAAGTAGAGTATCAGCAAATGATCCCTATAGACACAAGCATTTCCACTCTATGTGCACTGTAAACTGGGATATGATCATCAGTGAGCAAGCAATTTTCTATGCAGAGGTATTCCAGCTAATAAAAGCTGATGGGATGTGAACAACATCATTTAGCCATTGATAAGTTCTTATTATCCATCTCTCAAACTTTTACAGCACTCAATAATGACTGAATCCTTATCCACACACAAGAAAGACTAGCTAAATGCATACAGAGCTGTGTGAAGAAGGGGACCTTCCATTTTTGTTCTCCATGACAGGAGAAGCACCAGATGCTACACACATTCTCTCTCTCTCTCTCTCTCTCTCTCTCTCTCTCTCTCTCTC